GAAGAGTACCTATGATAAAAATTACAGTCATCTACAAGCTTTGCAAGTGGGAAAACCTGAAAAATCAACAGTGTGTCAAATACTTGTTCTCCCCACTGTATATAAAGGTTTATAAGGTTTATTAGGTTATAACGTAGTCACTGTATAAGGACATAAAGAAATGACCAAAAACACAAAGATCTGCAGAGAACTTTTAAGTAAAAAATGATGTAATTTTCCTGACCACCCCTGTGTGAGCAGTGGTCCCCGTCTGGCTCCACCAATGTTTCATTTTTATACTATGATTTATATTTTTATTTTATGTTTAGATTTTACTGAATGTTGATTTATTTTGATCTTCAAACCACTTTATGTTCTGAAAAATGGGTGTTTGTAATGTCATTGTGCTCCGTACAATGACAATAAAGGCATCATCAAATCAAATCAAAAAGCTCTATATTTCTGTCATATTTTTTGTATAACTGGTTTCGTACTTTCCCAGTTAGCAGCCCATTTTAAATATAGAAAATGTCTCCAAATACAAAGAGCATCATCAAGGTTTGATACCCAACGTGGAGTCTGCGACGTGGCGTTGCCATGGTTGCAACTAAACGCTGCCTGTAGTAGCGCTGAGCCACCGACAGGGGGCGTGGCTTCACAACATTTCCATCAGAAATCTGATTCCGACGGCGCATCACTCAGGTAGTTGGGTAGATTCGAGGACCAGATAGGAGCGACGGTGGAGCTGTTCAGCTCACACCCGCTTGCTCTCGTTTTTAGCTCGCTTCCCCCCCACCTAAAGCCCCCTTCCCTCCGGCAGCCATGGTGGCTAAAACCCGAAAACAAACAGGGAAGAGTCCGGCGAACCAGACCGACCGCGACAACAAGAACCTTCACGTTTCAGCTCACAGCAAAAGTAACATCAGGCGACCAGGCAGGGAGGGCAAGGCTTGCTCTCATCCGAACGGGCTTTCAGTCATCGGACACAAGCTTGGGCTAACTTGCTCCTCGGTTCTGAAGCTGGGAATCACTTTTCTCCTCGGTGAGTCTGGAGCTTTAGCCTGCTACAAGCTAACGGATGCTAACACCGACCGGTGAACTAGTWACCATTAACATGTCTGTTAAAATTACCTCTGTTAGTTTTCCACGAGGCTAACATTAGCTTCCCTAAACGCGTTAGCTTAGCTAGAAAAACACTACCGTGAGTGACCTGTATTCTTTCTGTCTACGGTATACATCACTTAAACACGTGTTTACATGTTGTCGTGTAGAGTTGGATATCCCTTTAAATGCACAGCGTTTTTATTTATCACTTTGTGGTTTAACTGGTGTTCGTGTTTAATACTTTGAGGAGGAGCAGTTTTACACAACAGTGAAAGTTTTTTCCTCTCTGTCCACAGCTGTTCTGTGTGGATATTTACACTGGTAAGATTTACCAACAGCATTACTTTTGTTATACATTATGTTTTTTTTATTTGCTGTTTAATTTTTCTCCTCCTTTAACCAGGTATCACCTCTCCCAGCTGTTTGAGAATGACAGGCACTTTTCACATCTGTCCAACCTGGAGAAGGAAATGGCTTTTCGAACAGAAATGGTGAATAAGTTCATTTATTTATTTTTTTCATCAGTAGTTTTCCTATAATGTTGTTTTAAAGCTCCCATTTCTGAGTGTTTTCTTTTTATTTGACTATCGAACAGGACGTAAAAGCAAAGTTGAGGAAGAGTGAACTCTGACCTCTAAGATTTACCAAACATATCCTGCACAAATTCAGAGAAATCTGACGTTTTTGTTGTTTTTGTGCAGATTAATGAGTGAATGTAGATTTGCACTAGCGTTTTGCTCATTACAAAAGTACCCGCTAAAGGACAAAATCACAAAGTGTTGTTTTTCTGGTGTATCTGGTTGAAATCAGCTCGTGTTGTTGTGATGACAGTAAAGGTGAAGATTTGATCATTTGCTTCGCCCCTGCTGCGTGCGACCAAATGGAAGCTGAGCCGTTGCCATCTGCTGGGCCCGAGTAACACGTTTCATCTGAGTTCTCATGTTTTAGTTTTATTTAGTGTCCTGCTGCTGCTTATTTCTCTCAGCATAAATCGTTTCCCTTTTGTTTTCCTCTTGTTGCTTGTTTATTGTTTTAATTTCCTAAATGTAATTTTTGTTTTTAACTCCAGGGTCTTTACTATTCCTACTACAAGACGATTATTGAAGCGCCGTCTTTCCTGGACGGCCTCCACATGATCATGAACGATCGTCTGACGGAGCACCCTCTGGTTATTAACACACTGAAGAGATTCAACCTTTACCCAGAGGTACGTTTGGAGGTTTTAGCTTAGTATTGAAGTTATTTTTACAATTTGAGTTCTACTCAATGGGCCTCGTGCAAGAACCGTTCGTACGCACAGATTTGTGCTTAAGTTGTGCGTACGAGTGATTTAGGAGAATTTGTGGCATTCACCAATGTTTTCGTATTCTAAGATTTTTTTCAGATACGAACAAAATTCAAAAGTGGTCCAGACCTGTCGTACAGCGGGTAAAATAAGTACTGAACACGTCACCATTTTTCTCAGTAAATATATTACTAGAGGTGCTAATGACATGAAATTTTCACCAGATGTTGGTAACAACCCAAGTGATCCATACATACAAAGAAATCAAACCATAAATGTCCAGAAATGAAGTTGTTTGTAATAATGTGGAATGGCACAGGGAAAAAGTATTGAACACACTTACTGAAATTTATCTAATACTTTGTACAAAAGCCTTTGTTGTCAATGACAGCTTCAAGACGCCTCCTGTATGGAGAAACTAGTGGCATGCATTGCTCAGATGTGATTTTGGCCCATTCTTCCACACAAACAGTCTTCAAATCTTGAAGGTTTCGTGGACCTCTTCTATGAACTCTGATCTTTAGTTCTTTCCATAGATTTTCTGTTGGATTCAGGTCAGGTGATTGGCTGGGCCATTCCAGCAGCTTTAGTTTCTTTCTCTGAAACCAACTGAGAGTTTCCTTGGCTTTGTGTTTGGGCTCWTTGTCTTGCTGAAATGTCCAGCCACGTTTCATCTTCATCATCCTGGTAGATGGAAGCAGATTTTTATCAAGAATGTCTCTGTACATTTTTCCACTCATCCTTCCTTCAATTATTTGAAGTTTGCCAGTACCATATGCTGAAAAACAGCCCCACACCATGATGTTCCCACCTCCAAACTTCACTGTTGGACCACTCGTGAATTTTGTTCATATCTGAAAAAAATCTTAGAATACGAAAACATTGATGAATGAACATTGGTGGTGCGCAGCGCCATGGCTTCTGAATAAATGAAAATGATTTAACACAGTTGTTTATACTTTTAGCAGCTCTTTTTATTCCACAGCTGACCTGCTAAAAATGACAGATTTTCTTTTCTGGATCTCTGACAGACGGACTTCAATCTCTGAACTCGTAAAGTTCTTCTTTTTTGTTTTCGCTGTCATTTTCATGAATGGACACTTCCTTGTATCTGAGGYAGGAAACATAGCCTTATATGGTGTTTTTGGGGTGGTAATTATGCTAATCTCCTCTCGCGTGCACGAGCAGCTGGATACTAACAGGTGGAATTTATGCAGCTCATTTACACACTTTTCCTGAAGATAGAAGAGTTTGTTGAATCTGACGTGACATGTTCGTACGAACCCTTCATAYGAACAAAAGTAAGAGAAATTTAGGATAAGCATGCGAACATGTTCTTGCATGAGGCCCATTGTTCTGTGCACACTTTTCACTCCATTCTCTTGACTGAAGTCATCCAAATTTTAGAAATTTCTTAAGTTTTTAATGTTACACSTCAGATGTTGCATAAAAATATGAATTCTTGTCAACTAAACTAAGACAGTAAGTCTCTTTTGGTTCTAATAACCAGGGTTGCACATAAAATTTTTGGTCTGGTTCTCAGGGGAGAACCTAGGGTTGTTGCTTTGTGCTCATATTTTCCTTCACTCATTTAACACATTTATCTAGAGGGGCCTCAGGGCATCTAACGTCCCCCTGTTCTGTTTTATGACTCCTATCAGCTGCAACATCTCAGGACATCATGTCAAATCAGTCCACCGAGTTTTTATTTTATTCGTTTACGCTGCATAAATTTTGTAAACTACCTAAGTGGCCGAGGGGCTGGGKGTATGTCATATAAACATCACAAACTGAACATTTCATGGTTAAATGTCTTTTAGACTACACATGTTTCAAACAAACAGACTACACAGACTGGAAGGCTGCATCTTCAGCCTTGGTTAAAACAGATTTCCACACTCTCCAGTCCAACCAGCAAATATGTCTTTTGCACAGAGCAAAAATAACTTAAAACATACAAATGTTTTAATTGTTAGACTGATTTATGTTTTAAAAGACTATTTTATTCAAAAAGATAATACTATTTACAGTAGATGGTTTCAGCTCATATAATTATTTATTCTTCATGTTTGATCATTTAATAAATTATATTTATCCCAGAGCAGCTGTGTCGCAGTATGGTCCTAAATATAAATAAGTTTAGCAAATCAAGAACCTTGTTTTTTGATAAAATTGTGAATGAAATTTGTGGATCTTTATGATAAATTAAAAAAAACATTTAAAACCCACCTAGAGAACATGGCAAGCTGTTTTTATTTATTTTTTTAAAATATATAATTTTTTAACGGGTGTTGAACAGAGAATCATCTTTGCTTTAATATGGGGCAAACAAATATTCTGTTAGTTAATGTGGTTTAATTAGAAAAACTCAGTGAATCTCACAGAAAGACTCAGCCTGCTCACGCAGCGACGCACTCCTATCACAGCAGTCTCTCAGKAGGAGAGTTTAGTCACTCACACAGAGTTGGACAAATCTGTTTGATAACAACATTCTGAACATATATTTAATATAAAGTTAGGTTTTACAGACCAAAATCTCTGGTAGTTCAGGAGCAAAGTGCAGGAGGAGCGGAGGAGGAGATGTATGGACTGGTCGCTGCAGCAGCTCCAGTCGAGCCGGTCCGCTGCTTCAACCAAACTTGTTCTCACTGAAAGCCCCGCCCCGCTCTGCTCTGATTGGACAAAACGGCTCTGGACTTCGTCTGATTTGTTGAAAGCAGTGTCCGTTTAATCCTTACATCAGGGTCCCGCTGTGGCGCACCGAACAACGATCCATTCACACCAGTGCTGCTGGATTCTTTTTTATTTTATTTTATTTTTTTAAAGAAATCAGGTCGCATTTGCGACCAAACTGGTCGCACTCTAGAGCCCTGCTAACTGTTGTTTTGACAGACAACCAGGTACAATCTTAGGTACGCAAGGGAACTTAATGACGTTACATCTGGTGCGCTTTTTCCTTTTTTGACCGCGCATGCGTACCTGCGCACTGCTTATGTGCCACTCTGCTAATAACAGCAATAAATTTAACATTTTATAAATAAGTGTATTAACAAACAGTTCATTTATATAGATAAAACTAATGAAAAGAAATTATTTTTTTAACTTGTATGATTTGTTAACAAAATGAGCAGCTTTTCTCACTGCAGGGGATTCTTCAGGGTTTCTCAGTGTCCTGGCTGCACAGAATTAATTACATGCAAACATTTATTAATTTAGAACATGCCACGTCCTTCATAATAGGTCGGGCGGTTCTGTTGGGGTGATGAGGTGACCTCCTAGGGGAAGCGGTGAACTGACATTTCCACAATGCTTGTAGGAGCTACAGAAGCTCATGACATGTTATTTTCACCACGTATGATGATGATGATGATGATGATGATGAAGGCCTCGCATTAGATTCAGACTTCATGCAAAATCCTCAGGTGACCCTGGTAATCCTGTCATTAAGAGAAAAAGGCCTTCTGAACTGTAATGTTTGATTGTGTCTCCCCTCTCCTCAGGTGGTCCTGGCCAGCTGGTACCGTATGTACACTGGYCTAATGAGCTACTTTGGAATTCCCACAAAAATGTGCTGGTCTATCAACAGAGGGGAGGGGCTGTCTCCTGTGGACAGCTGTGAAGGTACCTTCTTAAACCGCTAACACACGCTGTGTTTGTTTCTTCACAGACTGGAAATCTGCTGCAAGAGAATTAGTTTTRTTCTGACATCTAAAAAGCTCCTCGGTTTCATCTTCTAAAATAACTTCAAGAAATTTACAGTGTTGAAAATGTAACAAGTTAGATTGGACATTAAGACCAAAATAATCACATTTGGGCTCTTCACCAGTCTTACATGACATATTTTTACTGCCATCTTATCAAAAATGTGAACTGAAAATGTAAAGTAAGTTGGTCAGTCATGTGATTTCTACTGCACGTTCACTAAATCTGTTGCAACAGAAATGAGTCATTTTAAGGGCTAGTTCTTTTTTTTAATCAATCTGAACAAGCTTTTCTTGAAAGCCTTCAGAAATGGCATTAGTTTTATTTTTTAAATGGATTAATAACAAACAGTTCAGGGGTGAAGGACCATATTACAGAACTGATATGTTGAAGTTCTGCCCAGAAACCTACACAATATAAAAATATACACTAAAAAAACATATTGTTGGATTTACTTAACCAAGTCATGTCAACAATTTCCACTAATCTGAGTTGAGTAAATGTAAAGCCACTTGCACATTTACATTGAAATGAAATGTGAAACTTATGTTACAACTCAGTTAAGTGGAAATTGTTGACATAACTTAGTTAAGTAAATCCTACAATCTGTTTTCGTACCGCCCTGGTACCCCAAGAGTCGGCCTGGTCTGAAGAGAACCCACACAGAATTTTTATTAGATTGAATAATGTGTTTAGTTTTTCTGATTAGTATGTAGTAAACAATGTCAAATTGGTCTTCTGAAAATTAAATGGCATATTTTAAAAAACAAATAATTAGAAATATTGTAAATTTGCTTAAAATTCCTTTTTTGTTGCTCTAAAGGAGATACATATATAAAAAACACAAGATATAAAAAAGGCTTCAGAATTCTTCCATTTAACCAACTTAATGTTTAATTTTTAGTATTTACTGTAGGTCACTATAAATGTGAGATGAAATAAAGGTATAGAACATATAAAAGCCCAGCACTGTCATTCCATACAAACAAATAACATAACGGGCCTGTGACATGCATATCATTCAAATACAAAATGTCAAGTAAAACGTCTTTGCATTTAAGGAACTTAGCAAAATGCACACAGTTTTACTCATTTTGTCACATAAATGGCTTTATTTATTTATTTATTTATTTATTTATTTATTTATTTATTTATTTATTTATTTATTTATTTATTTATTTATTTATTTATTCATTTATTCATTCATTCATTCCTCTCTCGGAGGAGTAAGGTGCTTCTTCCTTCTCTCCTGCCCTTCCTTATCTTTCCCTGCTATGCTGCTGGAGCCTTCTCTACATTTTTCATCCGAAATAAGAAATCATGGATTTTTTTTCTTTTTATGGATTTGGTTAGCTGGTCTCTCAATAAAATTTTTGGAACAAAGTTTTTTTCTTCTTCCATGGGAGGACATGTTAAAGGTGGGACCTCTGTTCTTCTCTGTTCTGGATTTATGTYTAGACTTCAATCACTGGATTCTACAGATTGGCTTGGTGGTCTCCTGGTGTTCTACAAATCGGCGTCGGTGGCTTTTCATTTTCTGGCTGACTGACCAATTCGATGGATGGCCGTATACTATCAGAACTCAGACATTTTGCCTTGAGCGAGCTGGACTCTGTCTTCTATCGGTTCTATTGAGGGCCGCGGGCCGACTGTGGTCCCTGGACTTCGCTGGTCAGATGGAATTCATCTTGGAGGAGCTGATAGATTCGGGCTCGGCGGAATTTTGTCCACACCATTTTGCCTGATTGGRATCRCCTACCTTGAGAGYACCAGCAGGAACTCTAAAGCAGATGGAAAATTGTTGTCATCTGCTTGACTCTTTTGTTCCCAAAACAACTGATTACAGAATCTGGATCTCCCTGACAACGGCCTTGGATCTGTTGACTAAATTCTTCCTGGCTGGATGTGTCAACAAAGGCTCTGCCCCCACCTTCCCCACTTCTTTCGCCTGTCTAATCTGCTTTTCCAGAGCTGGCTGAAAGCTGCACAGAAATTAACAGTTTCCATCAATATTTCTGAACAATAGCTGCGCTGGTTTTGGGGACTGGATTCTTCGGGCCCCCTTAAATTCACTTACTCCTCTGGCTAATAAACTTGCTCTATGCAGAGGCTTTTTTCATAAACACAGTAGTGTGTCAGTGTTGATATGATAAGATGTTTTTGCTTTTTTCCTCATCTTCCCTTCAGTTCCCTTGTGCGATTTTCAGTTTTTCTTTGTTTCTAAGTAGGCGCCATGGCAGGCAGCCTGTTACTGCAACTCCACTGTTTTGAGCTGCTGTAATGTTCAAATTTCCCCACTGTGGGATCAGTAAAGTCTTGTCTTGTCTTGTCTTGTCTTGTCTTGTTTGAACTTGGTTCAGCCAAAATGAAACAGGAAGTGACATCAAAGGGGAACTCTTTTAGAAAGGGACTCTGGTTTTCGTTTATTGAAACATTATTATTTGAACTTTGACTCTGTCATGTCTTTGATAGTGACTCAAAATAATCTAAAGAAACATCAGTTCTGAGTTCTGTTGACACGCAGACATTCCCTTTTGACATCACTGCCTGCTACTTCACATGGGAATATCTCAACAACTGTTCATCTCTGTTCTGTCAGTTTTTATTTGCAATATCAGTCTTAACTTTCCAAAAATGCATTTATAATTATTAGAAAAGTTGATGTAACAGGCACTTTAAAGCATGTAGAACGAACACAAGTCCTATTCTAATTGCCCTGTTAGACTGAAGTGTTTTAAACCCATCACAAAGCGTTTCAGTTTGTTTATTTGAACAGTTTGGAAAAGTGTGAACTTGGTAACAAGCAAAAACCTGTCAGCTCTCTGTGTACGTGCTATCTCTGTTGCCTTAGTTTGAACACCAGGGTCATCGTACACAAGCTGATTTCACAGTGTTCACACTGAGCTGCTGCGAACCACCCAGCATTTCCAGTAGCTGTCAGCCACCACAATTATTTTAGTGAAATTTAAGATGACACATTAGAGAGCAGAGAATCCACATGACATATTTAGAGCTGCTGCTGGAACGAGCTTGTTTTTCTGTTCTATCGGTAATTCACAGCTCAACTCTTGTGACGATCAGTTCCTCAATATTTACAACAAACAGAGCATGTTTTAGTCTGTGAGGCACCGAGAATCTGTGCTGTGTACTTTCTTTATAAACGTGAAGCTGTTAATAATTTAACAGTGTTTTCTGAAGTGTGAGCTGAAGACTAGTCCATTTATATCACAAAAACTTAAAGGGATCCACGATTAGTTGTAACATTAAACTTTAGTTGATAAACATATATTTTAACTGTAAAATAAAGGCTGTAAAAATACTGTAGGCTGTTCAGTTTTGTAAATTTAAAAAAATATATTTTAACACGGGCAGAGCCATTTTATTTGCACGCAAAGCATTCTGGGTAATTATGACGTGGATAGGTCCTTGGTGTGAGGCTGCTAGCGAGCTATATTCACCCTGAAGGTTAATCTTGGACAATATCTGATGATCGACTCTTTTAAATGAAACCAGAGAGCGTTGACAGAGAGGAGAAGGTAGAAATGACTCAGCCTGGAACTGAAAATATGGATGGAGGACAACAGAGCTGCTTCATGGAAGAAGAATCTCAGCTTAGCCTGTTAGCTTTAGCGTTAGCGCCGATGCTATATTGCCTTATATGTATTAGCTCGGCGCTAGCACGACAAACAAGCTAAACTGAGGTCCTCCATCCATATTTTCAGTTACAGGCTGAGTCATTTTTGCGTTCTCCTCTCTGTCATGTGGATGGAGGACCTCAGTGACGAGAGGAGAATGTGTAGCGCTGAGCTAATACATAAACTGTATATGGTGATAGCGTTGGGGCTAATGCTAAAGCTAACAGGCTAAGCTGAGGTTCTTCTTCCATGAAGCAGCTCTGTTGTCCTCCATCCATATTTTCAGTTCCAGGCTGAGTCATTTCTACCTTCTCCTCTCTGTCAACGCTCTCTGGTTTCATTTAAAAGAGTCGATCATCAGATATTGTCCAAGATTAACCTTCAGGGTGGATATAGCTCGCTAGCAGCCTCGCACCAGTGACCTACGTCATCATTTACCCAGAATGCTTTGCGTGTAAATAAAATGGCCCCATCCATGGCTGTGTCCAAAACGGCAGGACGGGTCCTCCGGAGGACCCAGACTCCCCGGTCTCGGTGGGCCGGGTCCTTGGTAGACCGGGAAGACCGGAAAAAAAGAGGCTGTGGATTTGGACGGTCTAGCCTCCCCTCTTTACCCCGGCGTACATCATGTCACCTAGCAACTGTGACGACGCTAAACAAGCAAACTTAAATCAAAACTAATGATATATATTATAAATATATAATAATAATATGATAAAAATTGAACATCCTACAGTATTTTTGCAGCCTTTATTTTACAGTTAAAATATGTTTATTAAATAAAGTCAAATGTTACAACTAATCGTGGATCCCTTTAAGACTTGAGTTCATAATATTCCTGAGCATAAACAGCTTTTAGTTCTGGGTTTTGTAATGAACTATTGTTTTTTTTTTAATATAGCTTATTTTTCTTGGACTAATTGTATTACATCTTGTGTCTTGTCTTATCAGGCTGTAGTGTAAATAGCAAAAATTAAAATTTGACACATTTTATATGTTAAAACTGAAAAAGGCGGTGTTAAAATAAATTTGGAATTGTACCACTTTTTTTTATTAACAATTAGCAAAAACAAAAAGAACAATAAAGGTAAATAGTAAAATGGTTTGCTGTTCATACCAGGGCTTTTACAGATTTCCTGCCAATCCTTAAAAAGTCTTAAAAGGCATTAAATAAATCCWTTCAAAAGATAAGGCAATAATTAACCTTAAAATGTCTTAAATCAACTTTTCAGAGCATCTTTAAAAATGTTAACACAAAAGTAGGATGATTGTAATTCAACTCAAATATTAAAATTTTGGTAACAATTTAAATTTTTTTTGATAATTTATCAAATGCCTGTTCTTATCTAGTTCTTTTTTGTGTTAAAATAAACATTTGGGAAAAATTGTTGCTCARTGTTTTTTGCATTTGTGTTTATTGTGAAGTTGTTCCTAAATTTAATTTCAGGTGGCATTAAAAAGTCTTAAATTTAACTTGCCTTAAGCTGTAGGAATCCTGTTTTAATACTAAAACAGATGCAATAAAAGCTATGAGATTTAATCCAGGCCACTTGTTTTCACTGATGGTCCACATTTCTCACACAGTTTTGAATTAAAAAACAACTTAATACAGTAATAAAAATGGAAAACAAACATAAAATTCTGTTGAGTTTTTGTCAGAAATAAGAGTAGAACAATTATGAAAAACTCCTGGCTGCAGGGAATCATTTTATGTTGTGTCCTGAGAAAAGAGCGGAGTGATGCAGACCTGTAAGTTTTTAGGAGCTATTTTTACAGGATCTAACTTGGTCTAGCTTGGACTGCTCCAGTAAACACTGCCTCAAAGTGTAAAGTCTGCTATATCCACAGAACTTAATATACTTTACCTGCATTAATCTGTTACCTGACATTTGTTAGGAACTGACTGAAAACTTCACCTGTTTGTTGTACACATCAGGGATGGGGGACCCAGCCTATTTCTATGTAGCCTGTGTGTTCCTGCTGAACGGTGTGATGATGAGCCTGTTCTTCATCTACGGCGCTTACCTCAGGTAGGTTTATTCTTGCTCGTCTCTCCGTACCTCAGAAAATAGACGTGAAATTTTAATCAGAGTCTGGTGAGGACCGTGGACCCAGTTCACTAAAACATTGACCCTTTTACGTTTAATGTGCATGCTTCAGATCAGGCCWTTCATCTTGCTTTTCTGTTGACTTTTATAAAGAAACGTATTTAAAAGGATGAGCCAGGTTTGGAGCTAAAAGTTGCCATCATATTTTTAGTGAATCAGGCTCCGTTCGTCTCCTGTCTGCTAGATTTATGGATTGAAAACATAAAACAGAAAATAGTTATCTGCTTTCTGTCTGTAATCTTAAAAAACTAAAGCTTTACACTGTTTTTTTTTCCTCTCTTTGTGTTTTCACCAGTGGAAGTCGACTGGGTGGAATTGTTACTGCAGTGTGTTTCTTTTTCAATCATGGTGAAGTGAGTGAACTGTCTTTACTCTCAGTATCAGAACACAACGAATGCTGATTCCTGCAAAATCCACTTTTTTAGCTGTTAAATACATTTTGTTGTGGACTTTGAGTCTCCAGGAGGCAAAAAAGTGTATTTTAATCTCTCCTGGTGCTGCAAAGATATTTTTATATTCAGTTTGGGTCAGATTTTTCACCTTGTTCAGTTTTTTACACTTTCTATGAAGTTTTCTGAGTCTGTTGCATCAAATTATCTGCATCTGTACACTTGTGTATCCAGCTATAATTTGATCATCTCCATTCTCCTCTGGCTCTGAGCCTGACTCTGGCTCCAACATGTGAGACTGGATTGACAAGTCTTCTGCTGTTGACRTCTTTTAATTAAATTGTAAATAAAAYATTTCTGCAAGCTATAAAGCTAACCCTTTCAWACCGAAGTGGACCGATCTCGAAGTCAGAAGGGGGCGGGGCTTGAAGTGTCTTAAAGGAACAGTAAAAACAAGCTGCTAAATACAGCTGAAGTTAGAATAAGGAGGAATTCAGACCAAAGCATTGCAGTTCCACCCTATAAAGACCCAACTGAATGATTTAAATGTGAAAAGGAAGGATTTTAAAGCAGGATGGGTCTACTTTACTTTAAAATGCATAAAACCCACAATAAAAAAAGCTGTCATAGTAGAAGGTAAAGAAACTTGCTAAATCAAATCTTATTTATTGTGATTTTAAGAATTTTTTAAAAATATTAAACAGAATCAATATATTTTATTTTAGAACATGTAAGACAATTAGACATTTAATTTTTAATATTAAAAGTTGTAAGAAAGTCACACGTTCACTGTTAAAGCTGTTTATTTTTAATCGAACTTGTGTATTGTATTTTTTGTGTGAAATCAGAGCACTCGAGTAATGTGGACTCCACCYCTGAGGGAGAGCTTTGCATACCCGTTTCTCGTTCTTCAGATGCTTCTTCTCACCTACATCCTACGGTAAAATTAGTCCCACATTTAGTTACTCGTTTTATCTTGTTTCTTACATTTTTAAATTTTTTTTCCTTGGTTCCAGTAGAGCTCCAGTACTTTTCTAATTCCCTCACAAAGATCTCAGTCYGACAAACATCTTTAAAAAGTGACCTCAGACCACTTAATGAGAGTTCCAAAATGCTGTAAATCTTGGACGTCATAATGTAAATCTGTTTATTGTTTTTAACAAAGCCACTTTTTAAATTCTTCCTACTTTGAAGCGCCACTGAAACAATTCCCTTTTATCATTTATTTTTGTCTTTTTTTTCTTCTCTGCTTCTTGTTATCATGAACACAGACTGGATCTGTCTGCTGGATTTAAAACTCAGCACGGCCAGTCTGGATAAATTCATGAATAATCTAATGCTTCACATAAAGTTGTCAGTTGACTGAACAACGTCCTTCATAAAATTCACTTGTAGAAACKCAGGAGTATATTGCTCTGCAGTTATTTGGTATTAGTTTCCTCCAAACCAACTATAGCTGTGCTTGAAAAATGTTGTTTGAAGAAAGGAGCATCTGCTTTTGTTGTCAGCTAAGTGGTACTCTGAAGGAAGCTCTCTGAAGAGCTACAGCTCTTGCCAGAGAGAAACATTATCCTGTCATGTCACACAGCTTGTGAATGACACACTGTGTTGTGCGAAACCTGTTAGAAAACTGTCGCACCGTCAGCTTTACCGCTAACTGAGAACCATCTTTGTTTCTGATGCCACGCATAATGAGGTTTTTATATTAGTGACTTTAAACAAGTGTGTGTGTGTGAGTATTTATGTTTTCTCAGACATTTTAATACAGCTTTTCTTATCTCCTCTCCCCAAATGGATTCTCACCACTTCATTATCTTCCCCCTCACCCCTCTCTCTCTCTCTCTCTGTCTGTTTCTCTGTCTCTCCCTCTCTCTCTCTCTCTCTGTCTGTTTCTCTGTCTCTCCCTCTCTCTCTCCAGGACACGGAACCCGAGCAGGACAGCCATGGTCGCTCTGGGCATCTCTAATTTGTGCTTCATGCTGCCTTGGCAGTTCGCCCAGTTTGTGCTGCTCACTCAGGTAAAACCGAGAGCATGAAGCACGTCAAGAGAGAATGTGGGAAGAGAGTAGAGGTGGTAGCGAGATAAAAGGGAAAATATAGACTGGGAGCAAACAGTAGACTTTGCCAAGGACGTTGCAACAAGTGCAGGTGCTGAGCGTGATAGGAATGAAATAAAGAGGCAGGAAAGCCTACTGATGAATGGATAAGGACAGGAAACAAAGCAAAAAAACACTGCAGATATTAGAGCTAGGCGGTATGACCCACATTTTATATCACGGTATTTTCAACAATTACACCGGTTTCACGGTATTTGACGGTATTTTTTTCTCCTCACAGCTCAGCTGATAATAAAATTTACAAACTTTGTTTATTGACCTTTTTCTTTTACTGTACCTCTGTATCACTGTTTCCCTCCTCTTCTATGTCTTTTCTTCTTTGCCTGCTTGTAGACAATAATCATGCATTTAGGTCCGATCGTGAAGGGTTGAGAAAAAAATCATTATCTGGTCTATCTTTATGCGTTAATAAAACTTAAAAGGACGACTCACCTTGCACACAGTCAACTCTGCTACACTACAAAACTACTTCCCCCCGGGCTTTTCACAATAGAAGCACGCTAGAGTCTCCATGCAATAACGTCTCCATTATAACGAAGCGCGTTAAATCTAACCGTGCACGTCGCTGAAGAGTTGTTTACTATTCAGCAATGGTGAAAATGGGATTTTTTTAAAGTCTGCTTTAAGTCAGTTTATAAGCGGCTGAAACACCACCCGCCGCCAGTTGTTCCAACAATAACGTTAGCATGCTAATGTGCTTAGCGGTGTTATGAAGAAACGTGTCCCCAGGGAAACARTTTACTGGCGGCCGTGACGAAACGTTCCGCACGTGTTCAGGTAATTTAAACCGGTATTCAGAAAAGTCATATCATTACAAAAATAAAAACCGGTTTTTGGTACAAAACGGTATACCGCCCAGCACTAGCAGATATCTAAATAGAATTTGCTCCAAAGGGGTTGTGAAATGAACATATTTAAGTCAAAACAGAACAGCTAAGTTCTGAATTGCATATTCAAAAAACTACCCGAGTAAACTTTCTCAAATGGCACCATTTGATGTAGTTCAGGATCACATATTTTGTGTTTGATTTCAAAGTTTGCAATGAGTAAGTTTGAACCTTAACTAACAGTTTACTGCTGCAAACACGAGTTTAACAACATTTGAATACACACTGATGAAGCCCCTTCAGGCCACTGCTGCGTTTGTTCAAGGATCCCAACATGACACATTTCTTTTCAGTGATTATTTCATTGTTAGAATTTAGAAACCACTAATTGAACCCATTTGCTTCATCCACCTTTTTCCACCAACTCGGGGTCAAATGCATCCACCCACACTGCTTAGTCATTAGTTCAGAGGAAGGGAGATGTCTGGTTTTTCAGAAATTCAGATTTGCACAGTGAACATTCCTTCTGTCCTGAAAAGAGAACTGTGCTTTTATAAAAACAGTATTTAGTTATGATTTGGTTAATCAGTGTTTGTTTGAAAAAATATCAAATAGAAATGTTTTTAAGTAAGACCTGACTGATTAAAAATAAATGTTTTGCTGTTTTATTGAATGATTGTTGCTGCTGTTAATCTTTTATTTTAAGCAGTAAACTAACAGTAACGTTTTGTGACAAGTACAGGTGCAATAGTATATGTATCTGTATCGAACTGTTCAATACACACTTGTTTGGAACAATACAGATTTTTAAAACTTATTTTATCAACATGTCTTCTGAAGATGCTCTGTGTTGAAGGATCAGTGGGTCTGTGTTCGACTGCTCCACCTAGGCTGCATTGTCGAGCACAGATCCACTGAGAAACTYGCTGTTTCAGCAACTTTTATTTAAAAACTGTACTTTTGAGGTTGAACAAATGTTCAGAATTAATTTCARTAAATTCTAAGTTAAGAAGGGCATGGACATTTCTCTTTTTGGTATCAAAATAATCGAACCATGAGACTAAAGTCTCGAACTGAACCGAATCTTGAATTTTCTGCATCATTGCACCCTTAGTGACAAGTCTCTCTTTATTTAAYAACTGCTAAATGTTTATTTCGTTTGTCCGACTTTGCATTTATAGTTAGCTGAGTTGGTGAATAAAAAGGGAAGTTCTTTAAATAAAAGTGATAAGTTCAACACCACGAAATACCAAACRGCATCAACTGTGAATTTGTGCAGTTTGTAAACCAGTCTGTCCACTTCCTGCGCTTTTCCACAACTTGTGATCTCTTGTTAAAATGTCTGGTTGTAGTTCTCAGTTCTCATGAAGTCATTCTTTATTCAAGTAAAAACACAAATTTCCCAAGTCTTCTATAACCCAAATACGTCTAATTTACAGTTTATTTACCAAAAACTGACCTGAAAATAAGCAAAGGGGAAAAAAAGCATCTGGGCTCTATTCCTGGTACACCTCCTCTCTTCCTGACTCGCTGCAGTTGGAGCTTAAACCGATTTGCATCCTGGGCAACATGTCCTTGACAACCCGTTTACTTTTCTCATATAAAGAAATCCTTTTTCTCCTTGTTTCAAGTTCTTTCCAAGCTGCTGTTAGAGAAAGGTCATCCCTTATAACAACCAAGACGTTTTCAAATTGTTTAAAGAAATAAAGATTTGGTTCAAACACACATGCAGTCTGGGTTTTTAAACCTAAGCAGTTGTTTTTATGTGGTTTAGTGTTTGAGTTCTCTGCTTGTCTGCTGTTTTTTGTTTTTCAGGTAGCTTCTCTGTTTGCATCGTACATCCTGGGTTACCTCGCTCCTGCCAAGATGCAGTCCATCCTTGTCACTCACATGGTGCAGTAGATCCTTTTTTGTATCCATTAATCAGTCTGTTGCAGTGATTCTGATAGCTTATTCCTCACTGTTCCACCTAGATTTTTATTTATCAGTCTTTTATTTACATCAAAGACAAATGATAAAACAAAAAARAGGGAAAACAGTTTTTTCCTGGAACATATGTTGTGAACTCTCTTCAGCCCTGAGCTTCAACACGCTCAGCCTCGGTWTTCCTTATCGCACTAAGCTGAAAGTTTTTCACTTGGAGGACAAGAAAAAACACCAGCAAAGAAAGGGATAACTTTCTTTAGCATTTACATCMCAAGACATACACAGTTTCCTTTTTTAGAATGTGTGGACTGCACATTTCACACTGCAGATAAAAGGTGCCAGTGTGTGAAGAGCGCATTAAAGAATGCAGACGGTTGTCTCTGTTGTCTGCATTTTTCCCCCTTTAATCCTCAGCAAGCCAGGTTGTCAGCCACCGTCTGTGTCCACCACAGATAAGCAGACTTGCTTTTATGGTAAGATTGTGAAGATTTGGGTCACGGGAAACCATATGGCTTTGCATAATTTACAGAACTTGGAAATGATGACCAAGGCTTTGTGTCTTCAAAAATAGAAACACCGTAAAGCATATGTCTCTTCTGTCACYTCGAGTGTTTCTAATGAGCCCAGGGTTGTGTCACTTTTACAGTAAAGACATGTACAGTACATTGTGCTCCAAGTACCTGATATCGTCTTAATTTGGTGGGTTTAGTGATAAATAACAACAACACAGTTTCTGACATCCCAAACCCAAGCATCATGCATTTATATAAATTCTAATGATTATAAATTGCCAAAAAGCAGAATTTTTAAATCCTGGGGCCTCATTCGTAAAGGATTTTGTAGAGTTCATACTAAAAGTGAACGTACGGCCAAAATGCAAAAATGGCGTAGACCAAAGAAAATCTAAATTTATAAAACCATGTCCACGCACACCTTCATGCAATTTTCCTGCATAGATCACAGCCGCACCTCAGAGTTTGCGCACAAGGTCCTGCCTCAGGTTCTACCCTCTCCACGCCCACACTCAACCATAAACAGTCAGTGCAAAGTGCCTCATGGATGTTAAAGTGTATTTAAATCAGTCAGCTGATCAATGTCAACAGAAGTGGTCACTCAGGCATGTGCTCTGTGGTGTGTCTGGAGGAGGACAGGTGCTGAGGACTGCTCACATCAACAGATTGTCCATCATTTTTGCAGAAATACGGATGTTTAGAGCAAACTCACAGACTTTTTCAAAAACTCGGCTTCAAATTTATTTTCTCTGAGCCTGTACGACATTAAAAAACAATAAATATAATTAACTGTTTTGTCACTAGAAATAAGTTCTCCGCTCTTGTCCTCTGTCCTTTCCTCCTGCTTGCGCTGTTATCTGCGGGGAGTGGGCGTCTCCCCACCCCTCACCTGTGCACATAATATGGATTTTAAAAAGTCAACCTTAAACCTTATTGCTGTTGTGCTCAGTGTTGAAATGTCTCTTGTCGGGGAGGGGTCTGTGGGTCAGGGTCGTCTGAGGAGAGATATGGATGGAGATGTGTGAACTTTAATTTAAGGTTTAAGTTGGCTTAAAAGTAGAGATCGACCGATACAGGTTTTTGAAGGCCGATACAGATTTTTTTAAACATCAGTCTAACCGATACGCCGATACG